CTGATGCCATTCGGGCGTACAATACCCACATGAGCGGTGTGTATCTCACCACCGCATACTAACGCACTACAGATCCTCTGCAACAACCGATAAATGAGTGGCCGAGAGGCTTTAACCTCATTTCGAACCGGAATATCAAAGGTTACATGCTAATAAGCATTTCCGCTGCATGTATGAGATCAAGCAGTCCATTCACGTGTGTCACAAACAAGTTCGGTGTTCCAAATTTCAACCTTACTTCACCTGACATTAATCTGACATCTTTAGTTTGACCCCAAAATAGCCTCAGACACTTTGCCTCAGTGCAGTAGTATCAGTATGTGTCTAATGTGTCACTGCCAGCATCGGTACATTTACGAATCATTCCAGACTAGTGCACATTATCCGATTGAGGTCTATTACTACAATAACGACAAGCACGGCACAAGGCGAAAAATGAAAAGAACACAGAAAATGAAACACGCCGGGTTAGACATAGTACATGATATCAGGCAGTGCCAAGTCACGGAGTTCCACGATCCACGTGTTCGGGCGACGGTGGCTGCCGAGGTTAGGCGGTCCCAGGACGAGACCACACGATACGAAAACATCCGGTAAGACGATGACAGACGGAAGGCTGATGGCTGCGATACACCCGCCACGTTCATCCGGGTGGTGCGCTGTGTTGCGGCAGCACGCACGGCGAACAACGACCAACGAGGGCATACCGCGTGCGTGCATGGTAGCCGCCCCCGGGGCACGTGTCCTCCACCCCTTCTTACCAAATTTCTGGCATGTATCGGGGATGCCACTCCTTTAAATCGGTGGGGGAGGCTGAGCCTTCCATTTCCACTTTCAGCCACTGTCAGCCACTTTCGTTGCTTCCTAATGTAACATCAGGTATATACAAAACAAGTTATGAAGTCAGAGGCAACAAAGGAGACAAAATTATTTGACAGAATGGTACCCGTTGAAAAAGGAGGCGGTATTTCGCTCTCATTTCAATCAAAATCGCGTTGTAAATAGTTTCCAGTTTCTCCGCTAGGGGCAATTCCTTATGTCTCCTATGGATGAGCCCGTACGATAGGAAAGTTAATATCCCTAGCAATCATCCTCCAGTGTTTGGATAAACTGGGTTTTGCATGGCCAATAATGGAAACAATGGGACAACTTTATGGGGAGAGAAAGCATGGAGCTAAAAAATCATGACGCAATTTCATCTGGTATGAAAAAGTATTATGAGTTTGCCTTGACAACTGACAACTGCGCCACAATCGCTAGAGTTATGTTACATATTATATATATTATAATTAAATCAAGGCTGTGCAGGAATGGCAAAGTCATCTGGAGGTTCACGCCTGATCTTCGCTTGACGTCAGGGTTACGTCACTGGTGCAAAGACTTCAATGCGCAGCGGGCTGCTAGCCTCTGAACGTTATCCTGACGGACAATCGAGCTCCGAAATAGTCGTACCGACAACGAAAAAAACTGTTAATGAACGTGCGTGTGGTTAGCAAACATATGACGTATAATTTATGACAAGCATGATGGTCTGCTTTGCAGGCCTAGCAGGCCACCCACTCAAATGCAATAGCCTGAAAAGTGAAGACGAGCACAGAGGACTTATTCGCAACAGAGCGGCAGGGGGCTGCCGGTAACGTAGTGGTTAACGCGCCTGCATAAAACACTGTGCGTCTGGGAAACCAAAGATACGGGGTTCGATTCCCCGCGGTGCCCACCCTTCCTGCCAGGGTGACAGGCAGGCGACGTCATGTGGCCTCAGCAGCGGAGTGCGTCGTAAAACCCTTATGACAACAACAACAGAGCGGCAGGAACATCGGTCTGTCTTCGTACCGATAACGAACAAACTGTTAGTGGCATATGGATATGACCAGCGATCGGACTGCGTGACATTTAGCGTCAACCATTATGATATATGGGACAACCTTAAACGGCGAGTCATTGCAATGCACTTCAATCGTACCCCGCACCCCGTGGTCGCGCTGCCGCCTGCGGTGCGAGCGAGAGGGCGAGCATGGCGTGTCTGTTGTCTGCTGCAGTTTATGTTTTCGCTAGATGCGTCAGATGCGTACCAGATGCGCCGTGCTCGATCAGTGCCTATCTGCATTCCGGCGTGCCCGGTTTGTACCTGTCTGCGAAGCTGGCCGCGCCCGGTCTGTACATGTCTGCGAGGCTGGCCGCGCCCGGTCTGTGCCTGTCTGCGAGGCTGGCCGCGCCCGGTCTGTTCCTGTCTGCGAGGCTGGCCGCGCCCGGTCTGTACCTGTCTGCGAGCCTAACCGCGCCCGGTTCGCTGCTGCGCGCGGGGCCGACACGGCTCTGTCTCCACCTGTTTGCTTAGTCGCCGTGAATGTCGAACCACGTTTGTTGTGTTTTTAGGACGTTTCTGTGCTTTGCTATATTTGACGTCAAAGCGACATGCGGTTAGAATTAAGGATCGCAAAAAACCGGGTGCAAAGTATGATATACGTTTTTGCAATGCCTTTCTGTTTAGTCGGAGCAGCTTTAAGTGTATAGGTGATAAATCTTTGTGTTTTACACGAGCAGCCGTGTGCCCCAATAATTACAGGCACTCCATCCTGAACATACTTTGCTTGGCCGGAACCACTCAAAAGTCCCAATGATGTGGACACAGACTGTCATGCGTACGAAGTATCATGGGTAGCACGCGCACCTATGTAAACCTGGCTCACGACTGGCTGTGTTTTGGCGTCGATTGCCACTTGCTCAGACTTCCGTTGCAACATTTGTGCCTCGTAATAAAATATGGGCTTACCCTATTTAATACAGCTTCCCCGTAACATCGTGCTACTTAGCCTCGTAAGAAAGAAGCTTACAATTAGTGCTCAGCGTAGGACGCTGGCAGCCTCCCGCATAGGCATAATAGCAACGAAAGTTCTCCTAACTTAGGAAGCGGGCTGCCTCTTTCAAACCTATGCCAATGAGCTTAAAAGTGAATTTTAAGGAGGTTTGTGCTCATCCTGTATCCTGGCGCATGCGCAGGCGTGTTCACTTCCCACGCCGATTGAATCTCAACGGCCTTCCTGAGTATAAGCTCACAACGCACATGCTTATGCTTGCCAATAATTCTACCTGATTGGTGCGCGAATATATGCACCTACCAGTAATAATAGATTTGTTGCTGGTAAGACGGTAGCCCAATGCTCAGGCTGCCCATCTCCAACGGTCCACGCGTGCACGTTTTCTCTTTTCACGCCGATTCCATGTTACCTGCTGGGCATGCAACTTGTAATTAGCACATCATCATATTATCCATTGCATTGTAAGCACTCGGTCCGCGAGTTATTTGCGCTTTCACCTAGCGCTTTGTTCATTATCGGTACGAAGGCAGTCCGATATTCAGGCCGTAAGGGTTTTCAATTTGCACGCCGATTTCACTGTAACGTTTGGCTGCATCTTGCAAAGCACATAACCATATTCGGCGTTAAATTCTTCATGAATGGCTTGCTGACCATATGCATCTGCCGTCAACAGTCTGTTAATTATCGATAGGAAGGTAGTCTAATGGTCCGGCCGTCTTATGCAGTGCAAGCACTGTACATGCATTTTCTATTATGATGTTATTGTATTTTGCCTATTGTTTAGCGGCATAGGCACGCAAAGCACACATCATCCTTGTCATTGGTTTCTACATAATCGCCTCGCTGGTCATATGCACCACCCGCTTACGGTTTGTTCATTATCTGTACGAGGATTTCCGATGCTTCGGCTGCCGCGCAGCGTTACGCCCACGGCTGTGGTCGCGTCGCACGTAAGTCTCAACCTCATTGACGTCATCGCCCTGTACAAAGTCTGTGGACACCCGACGCATGGCGATGCCCATGCAAAGCATTCACGGAGTAAAATGCTTGTACAGCCTTGGTGAAATGTGAGGTGTGTTTTGTGGCACTAGATGGGCGCAAGGTGAAGCTAAGCAATTCTTCCTCTTTTTAATTTTCGTATATTGTTCCTCGTAAGACTTAGCTATGTGTGCCCACATCCAGAACGAGTTCCATCGTTCCGCCTCTCGCGGAATTGTAACTGGTGCTCTGCGGTGTGGGCGAGTGCCTGTTATGTTGTGTGTGCTGGGCATTGCATTACCTTACGATTTCCCTTCAAGGACCTGGAGGGTTCTGAAATCACGCCAATACTTGCAGCAGACAGGTACGACAGGTATAGATGAAGCGTGGCCTGCTGCCTGATGTTCAGCGAAATATCCGTGACGTCATATTGTCAGCCGATGACTCACGGCATTCAGCCGGTCCTAAAGAGCCCGTGAAAACCCACGACCATTGACGTCACACTATCAGTCGTATAGCAGTGACGTCCTTAGCTGATACCATGTAGTCTTCAGTGAGCCCAAAAACGCCGGTGGAACTCATGACCAGTGACGTTACACACTCAGGCGATTTAGTAGCTTTCATTTAGCACGCCAATGCTTGCAGTATACACGTACAAAGGTAAACATGAAGCATGGCCTGCTGCGACCAATATTTAGTCGCATATCAGTCACGTCACGCCATCCGATGACACTTCACGGAACATGACATACCGCGTCCGTGGGGCCTAAGTGCATTCGTATCAAATGATAATTAGTGACATCACACATTCAGGTGATTCGGTCAAACCTTTATTCGGCACAAAAATGCCTGCAACAGACAGGTACGAAAGATAAAGATGGAATGAGGCCTGTTGCGCCTGATGTTTAATCGAGTACCAGTGGCGGCATATCGTCAGGTGATGCCTACGGCATTCATTTGACCCGGAAGAGCCCTAAAACCTCGCGACCAGTGACGTCATTTACGCAGTCGAATACCGGCGACACATCGCCAGCAAATGCCTTATGGCCTTTCGTCGGCCCAAAAGACTCCCGATCAATGCAAAATCACTTTCAGTGACGTCACAATGTCAGCTGACGCCTCACAGCATTTCCCCCGTACGACAGTACACGAATCCTGCAGCTGGCGTAGCTCTTCCCTCCGCCGGCCGTACAGGTACCCAAGTAAAAAAGAGCCGGTGGCCCTTACACTACTAACTTAACCAGTTGATCTTACATTTCCACTGCTCAGAGTACATCAGGCAACTGACGCTATGGAAAATGTGGTGTTATGCTGTACCCTGTTGGTGGATGCTAAGCATCCTTCATTGTAAGAATATCCTGATATGAAGGTTTGTGCAGTCCTTTATGGCTGGGTGCTTTTTAGCAACGAAGATCTTTTTGAGACATCGCAGGATTTGCATCACATTTTTATCGTCAATTTGTTTTGTTTCTTTTGCATAAGCTGTCGTTATTTGTGCTGTGATTTACAAGGCTGTGGTACTGTGACACTGCATGTATAAAGTGGGCGACAAGCATTCAGTGATAATATGTTTGCCACAGTTGTGCCTGATCATTAACCCTGAAAGAATGCTTCCAAAAAACCTTAGCTGCTGCAGTTTTTACTTGTAGGATGGTACCTGACCATATGCTATGTGTGACAGGAGCAACCATCATGAAGTGCATTAGAAATCATGTTAAGTTAACCAAAGATTAAGCTGTCATGCTGAATTATGTGGTTTAGGAATATACCACAATTAACTTGTATCTGTATCATAGAAAATAAGTACCTGATACCCCAAAAATTCCTGAAATGGTATGTTGTTTACTGTGTTTCCTTGAACAAGTAGAGATGATTTTTCTAAAAGCACTTCAACCTGAAGAAGCTGCAGCTGAAACACAAATTTTGTGCTCTGCTGCTTCAGTTAACACAGACCTGCCATCTCCCATCTTGAGGTAATAGATTTGTGGAATTATGGTCACTCAAGGGAGAAGATTAATGCCAAAAAAAAATTATTGGAGAGAGATGTGAGATTCATTGTTTGAGCTAAACTGAGAAATGATATTTTGGCAGTCCCAATCCCTTCAGATTATTGTAATGTTTGTGAATGGTATGAACCAAACATATATTTTACTCATTAACTTAGTTTTGCAGAGATGTTCCTCGTTAAAGGAAATAATTATCGGGAAAGGAGAGCAATTCAACAGGTTATACTGAACATGGTCTGGCCATTTCCATAACTGAAAAATGTAGAAATGTGAATTATGTACACTTTCAAATAAAGAGATATGGACCCATGACATCGTGCTATGCACAGCATCACATCCAACAAATGATGGATGTATAGCATGACAGTTAGGCAATTGGTGTTGTCATTCCTGGTCATGTGATACTCATGGTCACTGGACAATGTCAGGATGTTTGATAGCATTTTGATATATTGTATTAAATCTCAGCAATTAAGTGTTTTAAGCCATAATAAAGTTGACATCTTACTTTGTGCTTAAGAAATTGAACTTGCAAGCTGAAGTGATAGCACATTTTGAGGCTGACTTGAAAGCCCTAAAAAGATAGCTTGGATTGTGTTTACACTTAGAACAGAATGAGCAGCATGAACACAGATTTTTGCATGCCTTCATTCTTGGTTTACCTTCTTTGTTTTCCCTGCATTCCATTGAAACTTTTGCTGTAGAGTTCCACTGATCTTCATTGCCATGAAAAATGTCTACTGAATGCATGCCTCACAAGTCTTTTATACAAAATACCAATTAAGCTGTTCTTCATATGGGAGCACCAGCATTATATTTCCAGTCACGCTTCAGGCCATTCTTGCATGTATCCAACTAGGCCATACACCCTACGCTTCCAGAGGTGGGGCTCCAGACAAGTTGGCACACTGCTGGATAGGCCTCACTGTATTGGGGCGCTCCCTTGCGTTGCCCATTTACTGGGCACCAGCAGCGACCAGCCGCCATGGCCAATCCAGCCTGGGGGGAGTTCTTCAGAGGCCCAGAAGGTCATCTTGCATCCAATGCTCGCGTGTGGAGGGCGGACATGCTCCGCCCGTTCGCAGCACTGCGCTCTCCTCACATTTCCACTTGGCATGGAGAAAGCCTACCATATTGAAATCACGTGTAAGCAATGTTATGCCAGCAACAAAAACGCATGGTTGCAACATTTTTCTGTCTTGAGAATGGCTTCCGCCTGCTGTTTCACGACGCCCGGCGGATCCGCGCGCTCACCATTCTCTGGCACAGCTAGGGAGTCAGAAGCTTACTCTCGTACTTCATCTGCTGCTGGTGGTTTCTGATCTGCCTGATTTTGAGCCTCTTTCTGATTTCACGAGCCCAATTGGGCCGAGCTTTTCTTTCGTCGTTGAACGGACGACCGGGCGCGACAGCCCAGAAGCAGTTCTTCTCAGAACCGGTTGGGTTCTTTCCAATCAGGTGCATGCACGTGCCATTGGCAGACAGCCAATCACTGCCTCCCTGGTGAACTCCATTCCCAGCATGTCATGCTCCTTGACGTCCGCGACCGGCGCTGCCCAAAGTCAGCCCCCTGAGCCGTCTTCAGTAGCAAGTCTTGTTATGCCGTCATTGTAGCCCGCCAACGGTTGCCGCCTTGGCACTCCGTTATCATCGGGTCTGTCCATCATGCTCACACATTCCCGCGTGTAGACGGGCCCTCCCTCCCCAGTCGAGTGCTGGCACCAGACGCTTACAGACCGGGAGCTCTCGCGACCGCTCGCCCCTGGCATTCGTGTCCATCATGGTCACACATTCCCGAGTGTAGACAGGCCCTCCCTCCCCACTCGGGCACCGGCACCAGCCGCTTACGCACCGGGAGCTCCCGCGACCGCTGGCCCCTGGCAGTCGTGTCCGATACACGAGCCCTCCTGAGCCGCTCGTGCGCTCTGGCTGTCCGTGGCAGCCGATGTAGGTGCCCAGTGGGCGCGTGTTTAACACGCATCGCCTCAGAACACTGATACCACCAGCTGTAAGGCTCCTACAAAGGGATACAATTCAGCGTTCTAGCTCGTCTTGTTTATTTTTGTACTACAGATTCCCGATTAGCCACTATGTGTTGACTGAGGAGTCGTGAACTGATGCCCATAGAATCAACAGGAAAATGTGTTTGTAAGTGCCATGAGACATCACAATACCGGTGTCTGATCATGCACCAAATCATGCAGTGATAGGATGTTTTCCTACATATGGGTCAACATTGATTATTTACAAGAACAGCTGTCTTCAGGTGTGACCTGCTCATTGTGACCAAGTTCAAACAAAATCCCTTTGTGTTTGCTTATCATTTGAGACACTCTTGATAATTATTTTCTGTGTACCATGCAAGCCAAAATAGCCATTACAGCTGTGTGCCCTAAAGTACCAACAGTCGACAAAAGAGAAGTACATTAGCTCACAAAGCAGGGGCCGTTCGGGATGCTTCTCCGTAACTGGATACAGTCTAACGTGAAGCATGCTCTGCACCAAAAGCTTAGCTTCGCGCCGTTATTTATATTGTTAAGGTCCACAATGTTTTGTGTTTAACAGGTCCCTGCCATTGTTGTTTAGTAGTGTTTATATTGCTGCTAACAGCTATGGTCTTTTCAGAATGCAGTAGCGCAAGCCAAACTGCCTGAGGTAAACTACCTGCAGTGCCTTCTGGAGGACTTCAGCACAGGTCCACAATGAAGCTGACCATTCAGTGCGCATTCGTTTTTGTGATAGGTAAGTACCCTCTATCGCCTGAGGTAAGCAAGAAGTCGGTAGTTGCGGTTGTGCAAAATCAGACCGAGAAAAGCTAACGGGGAAGTACAGACCACCCCGGATGATGGACTAGCATATATACTGAAGTCGCTAAGGCCCCGTGTTTTTGTGCTGGTTAAGACGTTGTCAGCGAAGTATGCGTCGTCTCAGCCCGGTTGACCCCACTCACTTGCGCTGCCTCGGCGCCGCTGGCCACTCGCCCCATCACACGCCTCGCCGTGCTGTGTGCGGGCCCGGCGCTGACGCCGACGCGGTCCGCGTCTGGCGGCAGGCTGGGCGGCGCGGCCGGCAGCCGGCGCCGTGGCCGAGGGCGTGCTCTGCGCCTACCACGCCCAGTCGGCCGGCCCCACCTACTACGACCAGTACGAGCAGGACGGCGCGCCGCTCGGCAAGATCGTCGACGACGGCGCGCACATGCGCTGCTTCTCGGACGCCAGCTACTGCTTCTCGTTGTGGCACGACGTGGCGGGCGGCGACAACACGAGCCAGCGTGCCTTCATCGTGCAGGGTCAGTCAGCGCTCGGCAGGTCACCGTTGCCGTCACAGGCTCGTGAGCGACGAGCTGAAATAGGACCCCACAGGGAGCGTTTCTCTCCTCTACTCGACACAACATGTGTTTTGCGTGAATGCTACTTCATAACCGTTCGAGCTGTTATCCCCTGTGCCTAGCTGTCACCAAGCACACATTTGTATCACAAATGGTGCCACTGACTGGTCGGTCGTATGGAGCTGCACTGGCATCGCGAGAGCATCGGCAGCGGTGTGCGGACATGACAGGCGGACGGCTGCTCACACGGAGCCGTCTGACCATGCGGCGCCGTGCTGGCCTCTGCCCGGCAGGCTGCATAAACATCGCGCAGCCGCAGGCGCAGTGCGACCAGCCCAGCTGCACGGCGCACGGCGAGAGCTCACGCGGCAACAACACCCGTTCTGCTGCTGCCACGGCAACCTGTGCAACGTCCAGGTCACCTACGTGCCGCTGCCGGCGGTGGCGGCTACGCCCGACACGAGCGCCGTGCCACGTACGTCACGCTGCCGGCTTGGGGCTCTCAGCGGCTGTCACTCGGCACTCCCTCAGAGCACGCCCGGCAGGGGGACACAGGGACCTCTCACGTCTGCCGGCTCGGGGCCTCCAGCGGCTGTCACTCGGCACTCCCTCAAGTCACGTCCGACAGGGGACACAGGCCTCTCACATCTGCCGACCCGGCCTTTCAGCGGCTGTCACTCGGCACTCCCTTAGGTCACACCCGACAGGAGGACACAGGGGTCTCTCATGTCTGCCGACCCGGCCTCTCAGCGGCTATCACTCGGCACTCCCTCAGAGCACGCCCGGCAGGGGGACACAGAGGTCTCTCACGTCTGCCGGCTCGGGCTCTCAGCGGCTGTCACTCGGCACTCCCTCAGAGCACGCCCGGCAGGGGGACACAGGGACCTCTCACGTCTGCCGGCTCGGGGCTCTCAGCGGCTGTCACATGGCACTCCCTTAGGTCACACCCGACAGGAGGACACAGGGGTCTCTCATGTCTGCCGACCCGGCCTCTCAGCGGCTGTCACATGGCACTCCCTTAGGTCACACCCGACA